TCACTCTCCCTGAACCGTGAGCTTTATCATACCTCTGCTTAAAGCTATGTATGGATCCTGCCTCCACTACATCGCTTCCCAAACTATTCCACTTCCTGACTACTCTGTGACTGAAGAAATACTTCCTAACATCCTTGTGATTCATCTGTGTCTTCAACTTCCAACTGTGTCACTGTGTGTGTGTGTGTGTGTGTGTGTGTGTGTGTGTGTGTGTGTGTGTGTGTGTGTGTGTGTGTGTTTGTACTCACCTCACCTAGTTTGTGTTTGTACTCACCTCACCTAGTTGTACTCACCTAGTTGAGGTTGCAGGGGTCGAGTCCAAGCTCCTGGCCCCGCCTCTTCACCGGTCGCTACTAGGTCACTCACCCTGAACCGTGAGCTTTATCATACCTCTGCTTAAAGCTATGTATGAATCCCACCTCCACTACATGACTAAAGAAATATTTCCTAACATCTCTTTGACTCGTCTGAGTCATCAACTTCCAATTGTGACCCCTTGTTTCTGTGTCCCATCTCTGGACCATCCTGTCTCTGTCCACCTTGTCAATTCTTTGCAGTATTTTGTATGTCGTTATCATGTCTCCCCTAACCCTTCTGTCCTCCAGTGTCGTCAGGCCAATTTCCTTTAACCTTTCTTTATAGGGCATTCCCCATAGTTCTGGAACTAGTCTTGTTGCAAACCTTTGCACTTTCTTTAATTTGTCGACTTGCTTGACCAGGTGTGGGTTCCAAACTGGTGCTGTGTGTGTGTGTGTGTGTGTGTGTGTGTGTGCTCACCTAATTGTACTTACCTAATTGTGGTTGCAGGGGTCGAGACTCAGCTCCTGGCCCCGCCTCTTCACTGGTCGCTACTAGGTCCTCTCCCTCTCTGCTTCCTGAGCTTTGTCATACCTCTTCTTAAAACTATATATGTATGGTTCCTGCCTCCACTACTTCACTTGCTAGACTATTCCACTTCCTGACGACTCGATGACTGAAGAAATGCTTCCTAACATCCCTATGACTCGTCTGAGTCTTCAGCTTCCAATTGTGACCCCTTGTTTCTGTGTCCCCTTTCTGGAACATCCTGTCTCTGTCCCGCAGTATCTTGTATGTTGTTATCATGTCTCCCCTGACCCTTCTGTCCTCCAGTGTCGTCAGTCCGATTTCCCTCAACCTTTCCTCGTTCGACATTCCCCTGAGCTCTGGAACTAGCCTTGTTGCAAACCTTTGTACTTTCTCTAACTTTTTGACGTGCTTGACCAGGTGTGGGTTCCAGACTGGTGCTGCATACTCCAGTATGGGCCTAACATACACAGCGTACAGTGTCTTGAACGATTCCTTATTAAGGTATCGGAACGCTATTCTCAGGTTTGCCAGACGCCCGTATGCTGCAGCAGTTATTTGGTTGATGTGTGCCTCCGGTGACGTGCTCGGTGTTATGGTCACCCCAAGGTCTTTCTCCCTGAGTGAGGTCTGTAGTCTTTGTCCACCTAGCCTCCTAGTGTGTGTGTGTGTGTGTGTGTGTGTGTGTGTGTGTGTGTGTGTGTCTGTGTGTGTGAGAGCGGAATGTAAAGTTTTTTTTTCCACCCACAGGTGTGGTGTGTGGCAGTGTTGCTGAGTGTCGGCGCAGTCTTTTCTGCAGACCCGTGTGTGCCTGACTGCAGCAGCAGTGCTCAAGGAGATAAGGTAGAAGATCCTTTAAACTGCACTAATTATTATATTTGTCTGGATGTCGACCTGCCCACTGACTATCCTGTGCCCTGTGATGCAGGTACAAGTTTTCTTGCTGCAGATGGAGACTGCACCGGTAGCACTCCGTGTCTCCCTACTTGCGAGCCAGAAAACTGCCATTCAACATGCGATTCAACCGCCGTGGACATAATATCTGACGCAAAGAACTGCAGTATCTATTATTTATGCGCGAATGGCAACATCATAATGCAAATGAACTGCCCCACGAACTATCCTTACTTTGACGCTGCTACAGAGGCCTGTGTCAGTCAAAAATCTGTGTGCTGCAGCGACGTGTGTGTTCCGTACTGCCACGCCGATGAACTGCAGACCGTAGACCCCACCGACTGCACCAAGTACTATATATGTAAAGCGGAGGGACCGGTCGATCCTACATTGCATCATTCCTGTGACTCAGGGTCTAATTTTGACGTGAGTGTGGGTTTGTGTGTGGCCGGCGCCCCGTGTATCACACTATGTTCAGGCAGCACGACACCCGGGGAAGGCACAACACCCACACCTGGTGGTAACTGTACAACTTCAATGACATGCTCCTCCCTCGGCTACTTCGCTAAGTGCTCCTACTGTCAGCAGCAGTACTACCACTGTGTACAAGCAGGTGAAGAAGCGCTAGTAGAGAGCTGTACAGGATCCTTGGTCTTCAATCCTGGCACCGACTACCCTTACTGTGTCTCTCCCTCTGACTGTCCCCACAAGTCACTGTTCTGACCCGCCACCCACTGATATGAACCTACCTTCCCACTGTCTTGAATGTATCACCCTTACTTTCCACCCATCAACACCAGATGTCAAAATTGCAAGTCTTGTATTCAGAATATATTAATGATTGTACTATGATTATATTGAAATTCACCATGTGCGTACACACACACACACACACACACACACACACACACACACACACACACACACACACACACACACACACACACACACACACACACACAAAAGACGTATGATAAAGCTCACGGAGCAGGGAGAGAATGAACTAGTGAAGAGGCGGGGCCAAGAGCTATGAATTAACCCCTGGAACCACAATTAGGTAAGTACACACACACAAACACAGTATAAATATATAAATAATAAATCGATACATTTCATCATAAATATTAATATATAATGAATATTATTTGACATCAATAAAAACTGCAAAGCAACACTAGTATCTCTCCTTCCTCCACTCTCCAATAATAATAATAATAATAATAATAATAATAATAATAATAATAATAATAATAAATCTCTAATTCCACAAGTACATGTACAAGGTATACAGACCATAGCTGACATCAGTGACATACTATTATATAGAAAGTCGCTTGTTAGGTAGAGCAATTCTATCAGTTTAGGTTAATCTTTTACCCCCAGGATGCGACCCACACCAGTCGACTAACACCCACGTATCTATTTACTGCTAGGTGAACATGGACAACAGGTGTCTTAAGGAAACACCTCCAGATGTTTCCACCCGTACCGAGGATCGAACCACGGACCTCATTGTGAGAGCTGAGTGCGCTACCAACCGAGTTACGGGACTGCAAGTGAAATTTGTTCTTGACTCATGAAAAACGCAACACACAGTTACGTGGTCGTTGATATGAGGGGTGGTCATGAGTGATCGTGAGTGGTCGTGACAGAGGGCGTGAGTGTTGGGCCTGAGTACTGGGCGTGAGGTGGTGTAAAGGATGAGTGAGTGAAGGATGGGTGTGTAAGTGAAGGATGGGTGTGAGTGAAGGATGGGTGTATGAGTGAAGGATGGGTGTATGAGTGAAGGATGGGTGTATGAGTGAAGGATGGGTGTGTGAGTGAAGGATGAGTGTATGAGTGAAAGATGGGTGTATGAGTGAAGGATGGGTGTATGAGTGAAGACTGGGTGTATGAGTGAAGGATGGGTGTATGAGTGAAGGATGGGTGTATGAGTGAAGGATGGGTGTATTAGTGAAGGATGGATGGATGTGTGAGTGAAGGATGGGTGAGTTAAGGATGGGTGTGTGAGTGAAGGATGGGTGTGTGAGTGAAGGATGGGTGAGTTTAAGAGGTGGGTATGAGGGAAGGATATGATGAGAGGATGTAAGCATTATTGGTGAGGAAGGAGGTGGGTGGGTGTGGTGTGGGTTTGAAAATATGACTGTGAGGGGGGTGGTGTTAGCCTGAACGATGGTGTTAGAATGAGGATGTCTTTCCTTTGCTGACGATACTACAATTTGCATGATTCTCTCATTCATCCATCGAGGACACTACAAGCATCCAAGTGAGACACAGAAAACATATGATATTCAATGAGGATCAATTTCATTTATTCCGTTATGGAAAACTTGAGGAAATAAAACCTAGTTCGGAGTATTAAACAAATTCTGACCACACGATAGAGCGGGAAGTTAATGTGAAGAACTTGGGAGTGATAATGTAAGAGGATCTCACTTTCAAAGATCACAACAATGTCATTATATCATCTGCTAGGAAAATGATAGGATGGATAATGAGAACCTTTGGAGTAAGAGATGCCAAGCCAATGATGATCCTTTCTCAATCACTTGTTCTCTTTATGCTGGAATACTGTTACATACTAACGACCTTTTCCAAGGCAGGCAAAATTGCAGATCTGGAGAAGATACAAAGAACTTTCACTGCATGTGTACGAACAGACAAGTACCTCAATTACTCGGACAGTTTGAAGTTCCTCGACCTGTACTCTTTGGAATGCAAGCGAGAAAGACACATAATTTACACCTGGAAAATTCAAGAAGGACTAGTCCCAAATCTGTACACATTAATCACTCCCTCCGAAAGCAAAAGACCCGGCAGGCGGTGCAACATCCCGCAACAAAAAGCAGGGCTATCATGAGTACTCTAAGAGACAACGCAGCAAGTGTCAGGGGTCCAAGACTATTCAATTGCTTCTCAGCGTACATAAAAGTGATTACCAATAGACCCCTAGCTGCTTCAAGAGAGTGATGAACAGACACTTAAAGATAGCAGCTGACCAGCTGGGCTGTGGTTCGTACGTTGGATTGCGTGTGGTCGGTAGAAACAACCTGGTTGATCAGGCCCTGATCCACTGCGAGGTCTGGTCATGGACCGGACCTCGGGGGCGTTGTTCCCCAGAGTGTGCACAATACACTACCAATCACAGGAGAACCAGGCTGTGCACAATGCGTTGCCACTTACTGGAATACCAGACAGTGCACAATACACTACCACTCACAAGACCAGTCTGTGCACAATACACCTTAAGTCTCCGTCCAAAGTAATTACTCCATCAATTAAAAGTAATTCCAGTCCTGTACATTTGAAATTGTTCACCAGTGAGGTAATTAGTGAGGATGAAGGAACATTCCCTGCTGCATCAATGTGCTATACAACATTCGCTTGTAACGACCACTTCCTTGCTGCATCAATGTGCTATACAACATTCGCTTGTAACGACCACTTCCTTGCTGCATCAATGTGCTATACAACATTCGCTTGTAACGACCACTTCCTTGCTGCATCAATGTGTTATACAACATTCGCTTGTAACGACCACTTCCTTGCTGCATCAATGTGTTATACAACATTCGCTTGTAACGACCACTTCCTTGCTGCATCAATGTGTTATACAACATTCGCTTGTAACGACCACTTCCTTGCTGCATCAATGTGCTATACAACATTCGCTTGTAACGACCACTTCCTTGCTGCATCAATGTGTTATACAACATTCGCTTGTAACGACCACTTTCCTTGCTGCATCAATGTGCTATACAACATTCGCTTGTAACGACCACTTCCTTGCTGCATCAATGTGTTATACAACATTCGCTTGTAACGACCACTTCCTTGCTGCATCAATGTGTTTATACAACATTCGCTTGTAACGACCACTTCCTTGCTGCATCAATGTGTTATACAACATTCGCTTGTAACGACCACTTCCTTGCTGCATCAATGTGTTATACAACATTCGCTTGTAACGACCACTTCCTTGCTGCATCAATGTGTTATACAACATTCGCTTGTAACGACCACTTCCCTGCTGCATCAATGTGTTATATAACATTCGCTTGTAACGACCACTTCCCTGCTGCATCAATGTGTTATACAACATTCGCTTGTAACGACCACTTCCCTGCTGCATCAATGTGTTAATATAACATTCGCTTGTAACGACCACTTCCCTGCTGCATCAATGTGTTATACAACATTCGCTTGTAACGACCACTTCCCTGCTGCATCAATGTGCTATACAACATTCGCTTGTAACGACCACTTCCCTGCTGCATCAATGTGTTATACAACATTCGCTTGTAACGACCACTTCCCTGCTGCATCAGTGTGTTATACAACATTCGCTTGTAACAACCACTTCCCTGCTGCATCAATGTGTTATACAACATTCGCTTGTAACGACCACTTCCCTGCTGGATCAATGTGTTATACAACATTCGCTTGTAACGACCACTTCCCTGCTGGATCAATGTGTTATACAACATTCGCTTGTAACGACCACTTCCCTGCTGCATCAATGTGTTATACAACATTCGCTTGTAACGACCACTTCCCTGCTGCATCAATGTGTTATTCAACATTCATCAATGAAGACAATACGTACCACGTAGAACTAACTTATATTGGGACTAACTTTTGCTGTTTATAAAGCTCTTCCTTGAAGATAAAGCTCTATACAGAGCTTAACGTGAATTGATGAAGTTCTACAGAGTGTAGTGTTGTACCAACACAGCCGTGTGCTGTAAGGTGATTATTCTCCTCTGTGAGTGATGCTCACTGTATGACCCATGCGGGTATGGCGCTTGGGTCATACAGTGGTTCACTTACTGATTTTTTAGCTCAGAGGAAGCACTAAAATATATTGGAGCGTCAGGACTCGGCTCAAGCTGGCGTCGTAGAGCTTCTTAGGTGAGCTGTGAGCTCTTTCCTCTTCTTTTAATGAGCGTGTCTTTATGGCGTTGAATGGCTCTTCATCCAAGGAATTGGAGTTACCTTCCCCTTCCTCGGATCAAATCTGATTACACCTCATTCCTCACGCGCTCTATGATCGCTGCTTATCTGTGAACTTCCAAAGACTCTGTCTGGTAAAACAAACCACTTAAGCTGTCTTGTGGACCTTTATTACACTAACAGTTTACACATTCATTTAACATGTACAATGTTGTCAGTGGACAACGTTTGTGGTATGTGTCTGGGTGCGTGTTCGTGTGCGTGTGGGTGTGCATGGTATCTAGTGTTGTAGCCACTACGGCGTGTGGCGCATCTACAGTTTACCTGGAGAGGGTTTCGGGGGTCAACGCCCCCGCGGCTCAGTCTCAGACCAGGCCTAGTGGTACGAGTTACATCAGGGATTTGAGTTAGCGTGCACTCTGTGCTGTACCGTCGTCACACAAGGTGATACAAGAAACGCCTGTTACACACTGACCAATCTGGTAATCAAAGACTTGTCCAACATCGCACTGGAAGTGATAATCAGGGTTGACCGGTCCAGCATTTGTACAGATGTAGTACCTGTGGCAGTCCGTAGGGTCGGGGACCTGCACGATCCCACCTGGGCAGTAGGGAGTGCACGAGACTGTGCAGCAAACCTCTTTGTCGCTGACGCATGCCTCCCCATTAAAATAAGATCTGTCAGGGTCACAGACGAGGGGTCCTTGCACATCATTAGCCAAACAAATATAATAGACGCTACAGTCGAATGCGTCGCTAATCAAGCTGAGGGAGCCGTTGCAGGTGATGTGGTAAACTGGTGGCTTGCATGTGGGTGTACAATCAGCTGGCGAAGCACAGGCGCTTGTTTGAGCATCGAAGTGCTCGCCTGCGTCGCAGGGTAGAGACTGGTCCGCCGCGGTGCCGTCATTGAAATACAAGCAGTAGTTGGTGCAGTTCAAGGGGTCGGTCACCACGCCACGTTCGTGTTTTCCAGTACAGTCTGGTGTACAAGTGTCTTGACAGACAATCCCAGCGGCGCTCAACACCTGTGTGAAGCAGAGGAGAATGTCACTGTGCAGTAATCAAAGCAGATAGAGAGAAAGTGGGAAGGATAGAAAGATAGAAAAGGACGAAAGTGAGAGAAAAATAGGCAGTTAGAAGAAGCGAGGAGAATTTTTCCTTAATGCATTTAAGGGGCGAATTATAAACCCGTAGGTGTTCCACAGCGCCTGGGGAGAATGAGAAGCAGTTACTTTTGATCCAAGAAAGGGGAAGTCAGGTTTAATTCCTTGGATCAAGAGCCCCTCACCAGATTCAAGGAGCCCTCCTTGAGAAAAGCTGAAGAAGAGGGAGAAGAAAGACGAACTAATACAGAAACTCACTAATGAAAAACACGTGGCAGCACGACAGCTAAACTTGACAAGTGTTCACATTAAGTGAACTAGATGCATGAAGGTTGAGACAGAGTACAACCACAACAGTGGGTGAACAGAGCACAGCCACAACAATGAGTGAACAGAGCACAACCATAACAGTGAGTGGACAGAGCACAACCACAACAAGGAGTGAACAGAGTACAACAACTGTGAGTAATCATACATAACTATGTATACAGTAAACCTCAAGTAGTCTACAACACTGACGACTTATAAAACATCCTCCAAATACAGGGAGAAATGCTAAAAAAATGTCTGTTTACAACACACATTTAGCCATGAATGGGATGAGCAGCAGTTGTTTGGTGACACACGTAAAAACAACACAAGTTAGAAAAGTTCAGAAAAAGAGCTGCAAAATGGCTACCCGAGTTAAAATAATATTTATAACGAAAGGCTGAAAACAGTGAAAGTGTCCAGGTTGGCTGAGAGGAGGAAGAAGAGGAGACGTGATAAACAGATGCACAGTGTACAAGAAAGAATAGATAAAGGAGATTCCTCAGCAGCTGCTGCAGAGATAACAAGAGGCCACAGTTGACACTAAGAAAAAATGGAGCCAAATGAATACTATGGAATTTTTCTTCGCGTAGAGTCAGTCGCTGAGTAATGATGGAATGGTCTTAGTACCGAAATAACCTTTGAAAATTAGAAATACTAATAATAAATCCTGACAATATTTAATAAAAATGGGATACCACAAGTATTGTTCTGCTACTGTGGGTACACACAGGTAGTTTTACACACACACACACACACACACACACACACACACACACACACACACACACACACACACACACACACACACACACACACACACACACACACACACACAGCAAACAATAAGAAAAGTTAATCTCTCACCAACAGCACTAACATCATTCGTAGTTTTTCCATGGTGTGAACGCTGGTGACACTGGTGCAGCTGTGATGTGTTGAGGTGTAGCTGAGCTGTGCTGTGATGTAAGTTATAGTGAGATTGTTGTGTTTACATCCTTGTCCTCACCCAAGGGAAGTTATCAGTGTTGGAGTCGTCGTGGCGACGACAACTTCCACACAAACCACAACGTTACACACACCAGAGACGACATTGTCAGCACCTCCGTGTCCTCACTCACCTGTGTTACTGCTTACTACGTGTCAGTATTTTATCCATAATCTTAGTGACACTTGTCAGTGTTTATCCATCATCTTAGTGACACGTGCCTGCATCTTATCCATCATCTTAGTAACACATGCCTGCATCTTATCCATCAATTTGATAACATTTACAGACGTCTTGCCTGTTATCTTCCCAGCAAGTGAAAGCGTCTTAACCACTAACTATTATCTTAGAGACACGCGCCAACAACTCAGTATCTCCTGTAGATACATATGAAGGATGTTACGGCCCCCTGCCAAACTAGCGGTTAAATAGTTAACCTGCCGGCCGGCAGTACCACTGGGTACGTCATCAAACCCATTGTGGGGACTGCCGGCCAGCAGGTTAACTATTTAACCGCTAGTTTGGCAGGGGGCCGTAACAAAGGACATCGATAATGAGTTATGACAGTGGTAGCTTTTGTTTTCCTTTTGCAGTATAAATTTTCGTAGTTATATTGCTAGTAATTCTTTGCACTTTTGTAAGACTTTTCTTTATTATTAAAATAGCAGATATGACACAGCTGGAAGCCATTCGCATCATACCCATTAAAAATCAAATTTGATAAACTGGCCATACAACGGGTGGGTAAAGAACCCGCGGTCGGAGAGTCATAAAACTCCAGACCGACGTGTTAGCCACTGGGCCAACTGGCTATAATAAGATTCATCCAACTAGGTATATTTATACACCATAGGAAGGTTAGCATACGCCACCACTGTGACCATAAGTGCAAGTTTTTACAGATGAATCTCCCGCCTGAGGGATGGTTTGTTTGCAATCGTGTCATTACGAATTCGTGAGTCTCGATGAACTGGCCCCTACACAGTCCAATTAACATCTGGAACTCTCTGCTGTGTATAATACGTCAACGTTGACAATTTGATGTCGATCAGAAAAGGAATTCACAAGTTACAGCTCAGACATCAACATCCCAATTTCTTCAGTAAAATTGGCAGATTGACATATTTCTCTAAGATACACTGGAGAGGAGAGTTTCAAGGCGATCAGAAGAAGGATTCTCAAGATATTACAGGGAAACCAATAAATTTGCCATCTTAACTGCAAACCTATGAAGGGTCCTGTAAAACGGGAATTTCGATTCCTCTACGATTATCTTTATAGTTCTCTGCCGGTCATGGACTGGGTCGCGGGGGCGACGACCCCCCCGAAACACCCTCCAGGTATACTCCAGGTAACAGTCTCCAGGTCTTATCAAAAATACTAATCATGCCTTGTAACGCTGACAGACTGTTGAACAGTGTCATTTACAATAAGCCACAACCTTGCTTTGTTTACTCGACTTCCTGCACTGACTGGCTACATCAACAACATACACATCAGTCTACAGTAGTAGAAAATATTTTAATATAAATTCTTAGTTGTGATATATATATATATATATATATATATATATATATATATATATATATATATATATATATATATATATATATATATATATATATAAAATATATATATATATATATATATATATATATATATATATATATATATATATATATATATATATATATATATATATATTGTGTGTGTGTGTGTGTGTGTGTGTGTGTGTGTAAATTACTTACAGTCTGTACACCATAAGTTAAAATTATTACGCCACTGATAAATGTAAAAAAATTTTTTTTTTAATTAATTTTCAATGTCAATCTAAAAGGAAATGGGACTCTTGGAGGAATTTTTATGAAGCAACACTACCAGCCAGTGTTGCTTAATCGTCTCGTGTGTACAGTGTATTGTTTATGAGTGGCGTGGGAACCAACCAGAGTTTGACACCTGTCAACACCTGTCTTATTTCATAGTTTGTGATTATATTATTTTACACTCTGAGGTGTTACCCTCCCTGATGCCCTGACGTGTTACTCTCCCTGATGCCCTGACGTGTTACTCTCCCTGATGCTCTGACGTGTTACTCTCCCTGATACCCTGACGTGTTACTCTCCCTGATACCCTGACGTGTTACTCTCCCTGATACCCTGACGTGTTACTCTCCCTGATACCCTGACGTGTTACCCTCCCTGATGCCCTGGCGTGTTACTCTCCCTGATACCCTGACGTGTTACCCTCCCTGGTACCCTGACGTGTTATTCTCCCTGGTACCCTGTCATGTTATCCTCCCTGACACCCTGACATGTTACCCTCCCTGATACCCTGACTTGTTACCCTCCCTGATACCCTGAAGATCTTGCCACTCAGATACCACATAAAAATACCAGGATAATTAATTTACACGCAAAACATAAACAATCATACGCAGAAAGTCATAATCGGAGGTCGAGTGTCAGTAACTCAGAGATGATGGTGTTCACAGAGACAAGTGACAGGACTGATCTCATTATCTGTGAACAAGACTCGTGTGTGATTTCCTGTTTATAATTGCCTGTTTGTAGCTACAGACTGCAGACAGGCAATTAGTCGGTGTCTCCGTCTTCAATACTCTGTTCATCATATATAATTCTTATAATTTTCAATTGCTGTCGCGCCTATTAATTCCTCGTTTAATGCAGTCCACTAGTCAGTCACTCTATTGAAGAAGAATTTTCTAGCAACCTTTCCACACCACTTTTTTCCTCAATTTTTCAACTGTGGTCTTGTTATCCCTATCTCAGGAACTTAGAAAACTTCGTTATCAGTTCAAGTCCTTTCAAGACCTTATCTGTTTATCATGTCTCATCTCTTCCCCTTAACAGTCAACATGAAGGTCTTAAATGTTTTCAGTCTTTCACCAGAGTTCATAATGTTTATCTCTGGCAGCTATCTTGTAGCTCTTCTCTGGATATTTTCTAATTTATCCATGTGCATTCTCCCAGGTGTGGAGCACCAGGTGTGGAGCACCAAGTGTGGAGCACCAGGTGTGGAGCACCAGGTGTGGAGCACCAAGTGTGGAGCACCAGGTGTGGAGCACCAAGTGTGGAGCACCAAGTGTGGAGCACCAAGTGTGGAGCACCAAGTGTGGAGCACCAGGTGTGGAGCACCAGGTGTGGAGCACCAGGTGTGGAGCACCAGGTGTGGAGCACCAAGTGTGGAGCACCAAGTGTGGAGCACCAGGTGTGGAGCACCAGGTGTGGAGCACCAGGTGTGGAGCACCAGGTGTGGAGCACCAAGTGTGGAGCACCAGGTGTGGAGCACCAAGTGTGGAGCACCAGGTGTGGAGCACCAGGTGTGGAGCACCAGGTGTGGAGCACCAAGTGTGGAGCACCAAGTGTGGAGCACCAGGTGTGGAGCACCAGGTGTGGAGCACCAAGTGTGGAGCACCAGGTGTGGAGCACCAAGTGTGGAGCACCAGGTGTGGAGCACCAGGTGTGGAGCACCATGTGTGGAGCACCAAGTGTGAAGCACCAGGTGTGGAGCACCAGGTGTGGAGCACCAAGTGTGGAGCACCAAGTGTGGAGCACCAGGTGTGGAGCACCAGGTGTGGAGCACCAGGTGTGGAGCACCAAGTGTGAAGCACCAGGTGTGGAGCACCAGGTGTGGAGCACCAGGTGTGGAGCACCAGGTGTGAAGCACCAGGTGTGGAGCACCAGGTGTGGAGCACCAAGTGTGAAGCATCAGGTGTGGAGCACCAGGTGTGGAGCACCAGGTGTGGAGCACCAAGTGTGGAGAACCAGGTGTGGAGCACCACACAACAGCTGCATATTCCAGTCCTGACCTAAGTTATAAACATTTCTTTAAAATTTTATCATACGTATATTTCAAGGACATTTTATTGTTTGTCAGAGCAGCGTACTAGTCTCTCAGTTTTATTTATATGTGGGTGTGCGCGCGCGTGTGTGCGCGTATTTATGTGTGGGGGAGGGTAGACGTGGGGGAGGGTGGGGAAAATGGTACACAATAGCTAGGTCCGGATGCTTTACCCCCTTTCATTCAACCCACTGTCTCACACGCTGTCATTCGATCCACTGCCTCATACACTTTCATTCAACCCCTCTGCCTCATACACTTTCTCGTATCCACCTCATGTTCGTCCTCACTCTCACACTGTCTCAGATCTCACTTTCCCCTGACATGAAATCACCTACACGAAATTTCCCTTAATCATCAACAGTCAACAGCTAGTTTAAACATCCTCTTTATCTTACTAGTACCTCCACCTCTCTATCTTACTAGTACCTCCATCTATCTTACTAGTACCTCCATCTATCTTACTAGTACCTCCATCTATCTTACTAGTACCTCCATCTATCTTACTAGTACCTCCATCTATCTTACCACTACCTCCATCTCTCTATCTTACCACTACCTCCACCTCTCTGTCTTACCACTACCTCCATCTCTCCATCTAACATCTTCCCTCTTACATTTTTAACTGTCAGGTCCACCTGTTCTCCAGACATATTCGATGTTGATAAATTAGACACATGTGCAACTCTTGGGTATCTTTATTGAGGAAACGTTTCGCCACACAGTGGCTTAATCAGTCCATACAATGGAGAATCTTGAAGAACAGGAGGAGAATGAGGTAATCAGTCCCTCAACCTTGAGTCGATGTGGTCAGTCCATCAATCATTCTATTCAGTCATCAATCATTCTATTCAAGATTGATGGACTGACCACATCGACTCAAGGTTGAGGGACTGATTACCTCATTCTCCTCCTGTTCTTCAAGATTCTCCATTGTATGGACTGATGAAGCCACTGTGTGGCGAAACGTTTCCTCAATAAAGATACCCAAGAGTTGCACATGTGTCTAATTTATCAACATGTCGGTTCTCTGAACCATTCATCTACAAAGACATATTCGATCTATTAACATCTCTAGAAGTTTGCTATTCTCAAGAAAATTTGCTGTCAAAGCCTCGCAGTCTCTCACTGTCTCTCTCTTGCGCACTCACCACTTGACAAACCTCTTGCTTTCTCTATATACTCTTGCTTTCCGTGTATTTTCACGTTGTGAAAAGCCTCTTACACGCTAACAAATGCTGCAGAATGTACCGGCTCTTACTGGACATACTTCTTGTCTCGTAAGGTAAGATATAAATGCGAATACTGTCCTGAAAATTTTTTTTACGTTGGCAGTTCTTGCGAGAATTTCTCTGGAGTGATTTCCCATGGACTCACATTGTCAGGAGTGTGTTGCTGACGGTTACACTAGTAACAGGGCCCTCCTTCTAGTGTTACTGTGTGACGCCCACGAAGTGTTAAGTGTTGTGGTATATATGTCGACTTCAAAACGCCAGGAACCAGCGAGTATACCTGCATTTGCCACAGTGTACATCTGCAAGAGCCACAGCACACCTGGACTCACCACAGCACACCTGGACTCACCACAGCACACCTGGACTCACCACAGCACACCTGGACTCACCACAGCACACCTGGACTCACCACAGCACACCTGGACTCACCACAGCACTCCTGGACTCACCACAGCACTCCTGGACTCACCACAGCACTCCTGGACTCACCACAACATTCCTTTCGGTAAGATTCTATATAATCTGAAATATATATGCTAGCATTTCTTTGCTTGTGTTTCTATAAATCCAGACCTCATAAAAGCCAGTGCAACTACTGTCTTAAGCTTTCTTACACCCAGCAGCAGGTTGTAGGCTATACAGCTTCATAAAATTGGATAACATGGGTACGGGGAAGTGAGTCCCCCATATCAACCTCCTGACAAGGTGGAATTTGAGGAGACGACTATACACACCATCAGAACTACTAAGGTAAGGAAATGTTTTGAAAGACTTTTTACCTTTATGACTTATGAGATGAGATACATGTATATGCTCGGGCAGTGTCGATTTAATCTGCTAGTTTACAACATGAAAAAAACATGATGAAAAAATTCGCAACCAAACCACAAATTAGAAACGAAGATTGGCCGACGTTTCGGTCTCTGCTGGACCATTATCACTCACAAAATGATTGATAATCGTCCAGGAAGGACAGCAAATTTAGTTTTCATTTTTAGTCTCATGAATTTGCTTTTCTTTGATTTTTAAAAGCCTTATGCACGTTTCCGATAGTTTTTTTAGTCTTCATTATTTCGATTTGCATTCAACAGATAAATTTGATGCCGTCCTGTCTGCTCCTCGTCAGGATGAGGTTAAATTCGAGATATGTGTGTGTGTGTGTGTGTGTACTCACCTAGTTGAGGTTGCAGGGGTCGAGTCCTGCCCCCGAAACACAGTATGCGATGTGTGTGTGTGTGTGTGTGTGTGTTTTAAATTTGTATAAAAAGAGCTTAAATATGTGCTGTTCATCAAAGTACAACGATAACAATGTTATCCTCGTTTCCTCTGTGAGGCGCCGTCTATAAATGAAACTTTTGGAGTGCCCTATAGTCTCAAGTTGTTCCTGGGAATAATAAAGCCATTGACGAAGTTTGATTTTACTGATTTTCATGGGGACCGAGTTAATTTTTTTATCAAATCAACATTAATAAACATAGGCAAATTTATAAGAGAAACTAAGTAGTGTTGTGCAGAAGCGAGTCATTGTTATTACAACTATCATAGTCACTAGAAATTCGTCTCTGACTTTTTTATATATTCAGGAACAAGATAACTGGTACCTCCCCTTGTTATTTCAGCTGTGATGCTCACACAGTGATAAGTGTTGTGGCATATGTTTCTACATCATGACTCCAGAAGCCATAGTATATAACTGCTCTAGCCACAGTACATTGTTACAACAGCTGCCAGGATCTACCACAACACTAGTGGACTCACCGCAGTACTCGGGGACTCACAACATTCAGACTGTCCCTCATGAGCAAGCTCTTCCTGTTTATGTCCTTATCAGTAAGAATCTATGTAATCTTATATTTATCAACGTTTATGCTTGTGTTTCTTTAATTCGGTCCCCATGAGACTTAGCGTAACCAAGTTTTGCCACAGACTGCCTTATACTCAGCAACAGTTTTCAGGCTACAAGATATTCCAAGTTTAATTTGTATTTGTCTCTGGCCTCAAGCTTCTGCTTTACAATAAGGGACTGACCACCACCTCTGGCTGGGAGACAGCCTAATAGAAGTGTGATATACGCCGTATGAAGTGTAACATACTCGTAGCATGTCACACCTATACTTTTTCTAAACTCTAGCACACTTGGAATGGCCTCTCCACACCTCCTGGTAAACCATAGACTCAATCTGGTCTTCCCGTTGTTTCTGTTGCCCCTTGGTACGAACTTCTCCGCTGCCTCCCTGCACTCTGTGGTCACGTGTTCCATCATTTCGCGTACTTTCCTTCCCTCTAGTTCACTTGCTCATTGCACCTCATGTAGGAATTGCCTCATGTTTGTGTAGTCCCCTCTTTGGAAGTTTGACTTCTCCCATCCTTCACGTACTGCTTCCCTCTTCGTTGTTAACTCAACTATGTATTAGAAACACAAGACCACGTGGCCACTGGCGCCTAGGGGCCGTTCATGTATGGATACCCTCTGTCTGAACTGCTCATGGCGAATTCGAAGTTCAATCTTGCTGGTACATCGTCTCTCTCTCTCTTGTTGTGTTCCTATTATGTCTGTGCAGGAAGTTTTCCAGTACCGTCTCCAGCATCTTGGCTCTCTACGTCCCTGCAACCCTCCCCCCATGTGTGTGTGTGTGTGTGTGTGTGTGTGTGTGTGTGTCTTCCATACTGCCATCCTGGGGTGATCGAGGCGCCAGATCCCACCGACTGCAGCAAATACTATATATGTATTGCAGTTGGACCGGTCGATGAGGCACTGCATTTCAGCTGTGATCCTGGGTCTAATTTTGAACTGGCTCTGGGTCAGTGTGTGGTAGGAGCCCCGTGTAACACACTATGTGGAAACACCACCATGGCCACGCCATTTCTAACTGTATGACATCAGGGGCATGTATCGAAGTCGACAGCCTCTCCAAGTGCTCTTGTTTTCAGCCGCAGCACTTCCACCGTCTTCAAGCAGGTGAATCCTCATTAGTACAGAGTTACACAAAGCTTCGTCTTGTACACTGACCCCGACTACCCTTACCCTATCGACTGCCTCCAAAAGCCAGTGATCTGAACCCACCGCCCACTGATATGAGCCACCAACCCTCTGCTTCCAATCTGTTGCGTCTGCCCCCCCCCCCCTTCATTCACCCTCCCATGCTACTTATCAAGTAACCTCTCTTCTCGACCCACCACCTTCACTTGTAAATCAACAAATCTCAACTTAAGCAACCTTTGTAAATCATTTGTAAAGGTCACATTCAGAACCAATTCATGAAATTAATATATACACAAAATTATTAATGTACATTGAATAATACGTATATTGTTCGTAACAAATAAAGAATCCAAACAAAAGACGAGTATCTCTCCTGACCTTCACTCTCCTCTGAGACAACAGATATGAAGGTTTCCTCAGCCCTGTAAGATCTTAAGTAGGTATGACCAAGGCTGGCTCCTCCTTAGGAAAATTAATGAACAGAAAAAAGAATAACATGCAAATATAAACACTTTGTTAGAACTGAAAATATAAAACATTTAAATATAAACTTTTATCCTACTTTAAAGAGCAATGAAAAATGAAATATAAAAATATTTGAATTCAACGCTAATTTGTATAAAATGGAAGAAAATTATGTCGACGTTGTTGACACCGCAATGTATTATTATTATTATAATCAAAAAGAAGCGCTAAGCCACAAGGGCTATACAGCAACACCGCAATGTAGAAACTGCAGCCGTTGTTGATGAGGGGGGGAAGGGGGTTCACAGTTGGTAAGTGACAACCCACCGACTATTCGGTCACAATGTCTAGCCTTGAATGATCCGTCAAGATTATAGGAACTCAGGTCTTTCACCACTGCAAAGATGAGGGGTAGTTGCCTGGGGTTGGCTACACTCAGGTACGTAGATCAAGGATGACGTCCCAGAACCAAAGTGAGGTTCGTCTCCTTCAGCACTGTCTCTGTAGTTACCAGAGGACCCAAGCTGACATTTCAAGCTAGAAAGAGACAAAAGTTAACCACTGCTCAATAAAACACTTTCCATGATAGGTGAAGGGCAATTAAAAGAATGGTGAAGATTTAAAAGCAAGATGTTAAACATGAAATTCAAGACAGTATGAACTAAGTCTCAGAGTGGGTGAAAAGTGAAGCTTTTAACCAATATATCCATTAAAATAGGAGCAGAGGCTTTTACTTAGAGTTGTGTTGGGACCTGTGAGTCAAGTGAATATCCATTTGGTCAGAGTCCCACACATCACCTTTCCGGGTGGAAAAAGGGGGGGGGGGTGTAGCGGGAGCTAGACACTGACCCTACCTTAACAAGTAGTCTGGCAATCAAACTATCGTCACCACATATTCGCTCACTACTCCTATCTGTTGAACTTTTCCCTCACAAGAGACAAGAAGTGAAATTCCTACCTGGCTAATGAAAAACACATTTGTCGCTCGACCTCTGCACTGCCCTCTGCTGGCCGTTGAAGCAAGCTGAAATTTTCTCAATATGGCACAGCAGGCAAGGAGGTGGATCAACACTGTATAGAGCTGGTGCGTGGGGCTGTGGCGGCCCAAACAGCTTCTGTTATCCTGCCAGCCATCATCAGGGAGACTTAGTTGTATCATCCACGTAACCTACCAACCCAGGCCAAGGCTTCTGCACACCATCCCTTCCCCCATTTCTTAGACGGTCCTCCACCATCCTATAAAAGGGATCCTGAACACATACAAACAATAGTTGGGATATTGGACAGCCCTGCCGAAGACCCCCGCCCCATGTTGACTGCCTCCCCCCACACACCCATTGACTTGCACCCGCGCTTTCGCTCCCGAGTACAATGTATCCACCCACCACACAATTTCTTCCCCAAAACCCTGTCTGATGAGAATATTCCACAAAGGTCCCCTTTCCACCCTGTCATACACCCCTTGCCAATCCAATGCCAACAACCCCCCCCTTTCTCCCTCCATGCCCTCCACGAACCCCTTGATGATCCCATGACCCTCGACCATTGACCTACACCGCAACCCAAATTGAGACTCAGACACCACCCTCCCCACAACACATCTAAGCCTATTCCACAGGATTTTCGCAAACTAATAATCAGCACATAGCAATGAAATAGCTCGGTAATCCCCAAAGATACTCTGCTTTTTTCCCTTTGGAACCAACACCACCACCACCGTTGCCTGCGTTTCTCCCATCTTACCTCCGTCTTTCATTGCATTCTGTAACCTAACTAGGAATCCACTTAGCAGCCCCCAGTGTTGCACATAAAATTCACAAGGTAAACCATCTATCCCAGGTGCCTTTCCCTTACTCATGTCCATAAGTGCTCTCCATATTTCTTCCTCTTCAATGACCATCCCCCCCAGTGCCTCCCGATCACTCCTCCCCAGTTTGCACGGCACATACCCACACACCTGCCCAAGAACCTTCCCATCCACCCCATGACTTTCCAAGTACCCCTCATACCATCTATCCACATACGCACTCACCCCCTTTGTGTCTCGCAATACCTGACCCGCTCGAAATCCCCCCACTGAAGAAATGACTTACAATTCCGGTATTGCAGTCATTTGCCGTCGCAACTTCTGGCCTCGCAGCACACCGATGGCTTGTCTCCCCAGAGTACCTCTTCCAACCCCGCCTGTACCCGCACTGCTGCAAATCACTCTTCTTGCAAATCCCTTATCCTGTCCTTCAACATTTATATTTCCTACACTAGGTAAACCCCCGACAACCCCCCCCCCCTGCACAACATTCCCATAATCTAGATTCAAAATAATTTGGCAAGCCATACAGCAATTGATTAATTCGTTTGCCCTCCCTCACATAAAATTGATGGATTCTTGCCTTTGCCACACTGTTCCACCAGCCTACCACATCCTCCACAGTCCTTCCCTCTGCACAGATCTGTTCCCATAATACTGCAAAACCTTCCAATCCCTCCCCATCCCCCAGAACCATCGTATTCAGTTTCTAATAACTCCCATGCCTACGAGCCAAAGCCTCCCACCCCACCTCCACCATTACCGCCCTGTGATCAGAAACCGCCATCTCATTTGTTTTAAAAGACTCAACCAAAACCCTCTGCGCTAGATATATCCTGTCTAACCGAGCCGCATATCCCCTCCGTACAAAAGTATGCACCACCTCCCACATACCTCCCCCAAATGCATCTCTTAACTGGAGATCTCTGAAAAGGCCCCCTAAGACTGACGAAAAGTACCCTGCTCCCCTGGGTTCCACGTCTTCCCTCTTAACTACACAATTCCAATCCCCCCACAATCGCCATGGACGGTAACGTGCGTAGTAAGTACACAAGTTCCTCACGCACGAAATCTGTTATCACTTTCGCATCACTTTCAGCTGGGGCATATACACACACAAACGCCACTCTCTCTCCCATCCACCATCCTTCCACACGCAATACTCTCCTCCCTTCCCCCTCATTCCTGTGCAAAACAAATGGGCTCACCTCCCTGATCAACACACCCACTCCCCCTTTCAACCGCTCAGACAGCAACACAAAAGCTTGATAACCAGACACTACTAATTCATGACCAAGCTTAAAATTGTGTTCCTGCACAAAAGCCACATCTACCTTACATCTGTTCAAAAACACTCTAAAGCACTCACGTTTCACGCCATCACACAAACCATTTATATTTATAGTTACACACCTGAGGCCGGCTTAAGGTTTCCCTGCCCTCCGCCTTTCAACACTCTTCCCTTTCCGACCATTCCCCTGGGCATTACCTTTGCCACTCTCTCCACTCTCCTTCCCAACCCTCCTCCCCCCCCGGCTGTTGTGGCCCTCTCTTAGGGTCACTTTGGGTCCCATAACCCCATGTCTTTTTCCCTTTGCGCCGGCATCAGGACATCGTCCGAATCTGACGCTGCCGCCCTTTTCCTTGTCACTACCTCCGCCTCCATGTCTGTGTCCTGAGAGGCCTCGCAATGGACTTCCACCTCCACGTCGAATCCGCCTCCATGGCCTTCCATGTCCACCGCACTGTCCATTTCAGGTGCCACATGGTCCTCCCTCCTCTCACACACACCTTCTTCTGCCCTGAGCCCAGGCTCCTGCTCCTTGTGACTCTCCTCATCGGTAGGCTGTAACATAGCCTGTAACACCGTCGCCAACTCCTCCTCTATAGCCTCCACTTCGGCGCACACTTGCACCTCCTCACTCAACAACTGTACTGAGGATGGGCTGGGTGATACTTTGGTCTCCACGTCCTCTCCCGTTTCCACAGGAGGAACCACCACCTCTTCATTCCTCGTACGACCATGCCTTCCTCCGTGACCTCGTTCGTCCTCAGACACCGTTCTCTCGTGCGCAGATGCCCCACCACTTGCCGGTCCAAGAGCCTAATTCCGCTTGTCACAATCTGCCACCATATGGTCATATTCACCACACAGAGGGCACGTACGCTTCTGCCCGGCATACGCCACCATTACCTGGGTTTTAAACTCCTCAAGCTGTATAGCCCTTGTGGTTTAGCGCTTCTTTTTGATTATAATAATAATAATTTAAACTCCTCAAGATATACATATGAGGGTATAGGATGTCTCACCATCATCTTAAGATTAAAGGTGCCCTCTGGAAATCCTGCGTAGGCCCCTTTCACCCACTTTCCAGGTTGGGTTAGATGAACAGTCCCATATTTTTCGAGGACACGTCGAATATCCGCTTCGTCAGCCTCAAAAGGCACGCTTCGGAGCTTGACCCACGTGTAATGTCTGGATACATCCGTCAACCTGATCCTCACTGCCGGCATCACGTTAATACAAACATCTTGGAAACGATGCCGTATGTCTCTCATATAATTTTTGGCAACAACACCTCGGCTGATGTAGGCGTTAATGCCCCACTGATGAACTCAATGCCCACCATATTCACTCTCCGGCACACACCTAGAGCCATGTTGTTTCTGAGTAGCTCGTCTGGGTAAACAGTAGAGGGGTGCTAAGCACGACTGCACTCTACCCCATCCAGGCAGCAAAAAAGGAGCTACTGCGCAGCACAACCTCTCGGCCCGAAAGCGAAGAGGTCAATGAAGGCGGATGGGAGTGGGAGTGGTGAATGTGAAGAGAATACAGTCAGGGAGGGAGTGGTCTTAGCGTAAATAGGGTGAATGTGCGCTGGTGAGGGTGAGTGTGAGGGTGAAAGCAAGGTTGTGTGTGAGCATTGTGAGAAATGACATAGACTGCAGTGTGTTAACTCACACAGAGACAGACTGTCCGGGACGACAATGCTGTCTTAAGGTGAAGCTCAGGGTAACGTGTCAGCCTCGTAGCTCGATCGCTAGCGCACTCAGCTCACACACTGTGGTTCGGGGGTCGATCCCCGGTACGGCTGGAAAACATTAGGACGTGTTTCCATAAGACACCTGCTGTCCATGTTCACCTAACAGTAAAATGGGAACCTGGGTGTTAGTGGACTGGTGTGGGTCGCATCCTGGGACAAAACTGACCTAATTTTCCTGAAATACACTGCATAACAAAGGGCTTTCTATAAAGTAGTATGTCACTGACGTCAGCTAGGCCTGTATACCTTGTACTTGTAGAAATAAAGATATAATAATAATAATTACTATTATTATTATTATTATTATTATCATCTTCGCTGTTTGTTTTGTAAATGTTATTTAATTACTCTTTATTTAACATGGACAGAAATTTGAGTCACCTTTAATCTTTAATATTTTTTGGTAGATTCAATGGTGGTACAAGTAGTCCCTCCCCTTGTGGCAGCGGTGACGCCCTCGATGTGATAAGTGTTGTGATTTATATGTTGACTCTGTGACACCTTCACTTATAGTGCATACCTGCTCTAGCTACAGTACACAGCTGCATCAACCACAGCATATGAAGACTCACCACAACACACCTGGGCTCACCACCGCACACCTGAACGCACCACAACACACCTGGGCTCACCACAGCACACCTGAACGCACCACAACACACCTGGGATCACCACATCTGGACTTACCACAACACACTTGGACTCGCCACAGAATTCAGAGTCCCTCCCAGCTTGTCCTTCATGAATAATTGTATGTTGATATATGCCTGTCACCAGGAATCTGTGTAAATTAAAAAAAAAGTCACAAAATCGTGGCTGAAACAATTCACAACTAACCCACAAATTGGAAAGGGACGCTAACGGACGTTTCGGCTTGTCTTCGACCATTATCAGTCTCAAGCTAACAAAGATCCAGGAATGACCGGAAATTTTAATTTCTTTTCCAGTTTCTAGCATTTACTTTTCCGGGATTTTTTAAAACCTGTTTACGTCTGTTTATATGCTCTTTTTTTCTGTCATTTCCTCTATTCTTCAATAATTTTTACCTTATCGTCTTTAGATAAATTGGATGCCTTCCCGTCTGTTCTTCAGTGTCTCACGCCAACACTGAGACGTTCCCAGTGTCCCGCACACTGACACAAGCTGAGACACATCCAGTGTGTCTCACGCCAGCAGGGAGACGTTCCCAGTGTCCCACACACTGACATAAGCTGAGACACATCGTAACAATACTCTGTGCTGGTGTTTATCTGCAAACGGGTGAGTACGAATAGGAAGGCGTCTGTGTCGAGCTCAGCAGACGGAGGATCAAGCCTCCACCACGTCTTGCGCTGAATGACCCATATGGGTTTAGCGCTTAAATTATTTCATAACTGTTATTTTGCTCACACTCCCAAAGTCTTCATAAAAATCGCATGTCTGTATACACTCGTATTTTACATGCTCACATATCTGTTGGATGTTCAAACATTTACCACTCAAAACCTCCTTTATCCCCTCATTTCAGCCCTTCCCGGAGACGACTCCCACCTCTCCTTCCCTCCATTCCAGATTTATATGCTCGCCTAGTCATCCTATTTTACTACATCCTTTCCAGATGTTCAAACCATCTCGATAACCTCTCCTTCAGCCTTCTGAGTTTTACCTTCTAATTTCCACACTCCGAAGTCTCTACGTAATATTCAGAATAAACACCACATCTCCACTAACTCCACCAGCCTCCTCCTCGCTGCAACATTCAAAACCCAAGTTTCACACACGAATAACAGTGTTAATTCCATTATGCTCTGATGCCTTCCCTTTCTCCTCCATGGATAAAGTTCTTATTCTCCATAGGTGCCTAAGTGCATCAACTACCCTTTTTTCCCCTTTTCTATTCCATGGTTCACTTCGTTCATTTTTTTTAGTAGACCTATCTGCCGTGAGTTTCACTCGCGAATATCTGGTTGTATCGACTTCCTTCATACTCCCTCCCTCCAATCTGGTATCCAATCTTTCATTGCCCAGATTTTTATTGTTGCTATCATCAGCTGGCTCTTTCCCTTATTCACTTTTAATTTCCCTCTTTTTTTTATACCCTCAGGAGGTCTGTAGGCAAACTGATCTTGTCATAGTTAGTATGTGGAGCAACACACACCTTAACGAAGCCCGTCGGCGATGTTAAGCCACCAGTGCTGAGACTACTGCTGCTTGTCCAGCATTTGACTCCCCAGGATGCGATCCACCACAGCTGGCTTAATCGTGTAAACAATTGTAAAGTGACTCACCCATAATGCTACAAGAGTCACCCATAATGTTATAAGAGTCTCTCATTATCCTACAAGAGTCACCTATAATACTGGACTTGCCTAGAATACCAACCCAGAAAACTTGGAGTGTGAGTGGACTGTGTTGCCACAAGACTGTGTTGCTGGACTCACTCTTGGAGACGGTTGTTAGACACCCGACTTGTTAATGTTCAGTAGCATCAGTGTGGTCGATACTGAACGTGAGCTGAGAAGCGTTGACTTAAAAACAAAATCATAACTAGCAATTTTATTGAACAAAAAGAAGAGAGAGAGAGAAAAAAATACATGAAACACAAAATATTGAGTATAAATCAATAAAAGTCAATAGCGATAATTTATGTATACATGATCCACTGAAACGCGTCGGAGGGTCGAGTCCTCCGTCCTTTAGCAATACCTAGAATAAACAGGTGACGAAGGTCGACTGAACTCAGCAAAGCTTAACACACTCTGCAGTTGGAGAACAATGACTCACTTTGTAATCGTATACTTGACTGTCAGGGCACGTCAGAAGTGAGTCGTCAGAGGGAGTGCCAACTTCTATACATATGTAGTATTTATGGCAGTCTTGGCCATGTGGCACCCATTTGCCCTTCTTAGGGCAGTAAGGTGGGCAGGGGTAGGAGCAACAGGAGTCAGAGTTAGTGGTGCAGGAGGTACCGTTGAAATAAGGGGTCTGGTTGGGGCAGCTCATGTGTAGAGGACTTCCTTCGTAACAGAAGTAGTATTTAGAACAGTCTAGAGGATCGTAGATGCGGTCACTGTCGGAGCAGGTGTAGGGGCAGATGGCATCGCAGGCTTGCGGACACGGGTATGTGCCATCCACTATTTGTTGGCACTTGTGATCAGTTGGGTTGTAATAGTATCCGTCTGGGCACGTCAATGGAGTTTCATAAATGTTTCCACTACCCAAGCAAACGTAATAACCCAGGCAGTTGTGAGGATCCGCTTCCATGGCACCCGGTGGCTTGTCACTGCAGTCTGGCTCGGGTAAGCAGCCCATGGATGGGGATGTGGTGGGAGTGGGTAGTGTGGTGGTACTTGTAGTTGTGGTACTTTTAGTCGTTGGACTTGTAGTTGTGGTACTTGTAGCTGTGGTACTTGTAGTTGTGGTACTTGCTGTAGTACTTGCAGTCATTGGACTTGTTGTTGTGGTACTTGTTGTAGTGCTTGCAGTCGTTGGACTTGTTGTTGTGGTACTTGTAATGCTTGCAGTCGTTGGACTTGTAGTTGTGGTACTTGTTGTAGTACTTGCAGTCGTTGGACTTGTAGTTGTGGTACTTGTTGTAGTACTTGCAGTCGTTGGACTTGTAGTTGTGGTACTTGTTGTAGTACTTGCAGTCGTTGGACTTGTAGTTGTGGTACTTGTTGTAGTACTTGCAGTCGTTGGACTTGTAGTTGTGGTACTTGTTGTAGTACTTGCAGTCGTTGGACTTGTAGTTGTGGTACTTGTTGTAGTGCTTGCAGTTGTTGGACTTGTAGTTGTGGTTATTGGTTGTGGGGTCGGTGTGGTCACAGTACTGTCTGGGGTTGTGATAACTATATTGGTTGTAGTGGTGACAGTTGTTGTGGTTGTCATATCTGAACAACAGGCTTGACTGTTGCTAGTACAGTCTTCCCCATTAAAATACGGCTTGCTGTCTGGACAATGCATCGGCATGACAACATCCCCAGGATAGCATTCATAATACAACGTACAGTCATAATGGTCGGCAAATTTACTAAAGTCCCCATTGCAGGAGAAACTGCAACTGTCAGCGTTGCTGATGACGATCCTTGATATTCGTGTTGAGTCCAGCGCCAACGGCGGAGGAAATTTAGTTCCGTCAGAGCAGAATTTTAGACAGGATGTGTCGATGCAACGACCGGTGTCGATGTGGAAGCGTTGGCCTGGTCGACAGGCGTGGTTGTCGAGGGTAAGACCTCCCTGATGGAGGAGTGGACAGGGACACACGTGAGGACACTGTGGGACACAAGGAATGTCCTCCTGCAGGCAGCTCCTCGAGATGGGATGGAAGTAGTGACGTTGGGGACAGCGTTGAATGGCGAGGTCAGGTCGGCCGTCCTCCACACACAGATGGTAGAGATGACACTCCCAGGGGTGAGGCACCAGCTGCCCCGGCTGACAGCTGGCTTGTAGCTCACACCTTGGGTCTTCCATAGCCCCTACACTGCTCTGAAATAAAAAAAAATAATCTTAGTCTCTCACGGTCCTGTCCTGGATTATGTATTTTGAAAAGATAAACGATAAAATTAGCTAACAAACCGAAGTTTAACTAACATCTCTGGTTGTAAAGTCGTGTCAAAGGCTTTCTTAGTGTTCCAATTCCGCCTGTCTAATATTGTTCGAGTCTGACGGTCTGCAAACATTGCACTCTGATGCTGCAGCAAATTCCACAACCTTTTCTTATCGTTTCCATGAGTTTGCAGAGTCAGCTACATTAAAAGTAGGAACAAGAGACTTCTCCCGCTGGTTGTGATGATAGTAAGTACATGAGCAGCGCCATGAATTTGTAAACATACAGGTAGGAGTGAGTGGCATAGGTCCCTAACTACAATGAGGTATGAGGTTAATACACTCACCAAGCATGAGATTAAAACGAGAAGCATTTTGACGGGCTTCACAACAGTGTAGGCTGGAGTAACACAGGCTTCACAACAGAGACAGTAACAGCAGCACAGCCGATACAACAGTGACGGTGAGAGTAACACAGGCGTCACAGTAGTAGAATGAACTGCGTCACAATCTTGAGTAATATCACAAACAATGGCTCTGTTTAAAAAAAACTGCTTTGTCGCGTTAATGTCAATCCTCTGATTAGATAGCTGATGTAGCCTAAGATTGTGAGCAATGTGTGAATGTGTGCTCTGTAACTTCCACATTAGTGTTTCATGGGGATACTACTGAATTTTTTCCCTTAGAATCCAAATAAATGTGTGTGTGTATATGAGAACTCATATGTGTGTTCAGTGATCGATTCACTGCTCCTGTGAGTGTGTGTGGACGAGAGAGATTTCTTAATTGTAATTACCATTTCTTCTTTGGCTAAAGGAGCTCAAAGTTCGTAGTGCCTCGTCTTCAGTACTATCATACTTGTTTTTTATTTTTTTCTAGTGGTTGTAGTACTTACCTCTTGTCTAACACATACAATTGGAGTGCTGATCTGCAGTACATGATGCGTGTGTAGGATTTTGAGAACGACCCGTCTTGTAAGCACATTAGTGTTCCTGCTGGCGAGTCTGAAGGTCACGCCTCACGTTAACTGTAAACTCCTGCAGCAGTTGTGCTCCTGGGACTGTGAGATCTGGTGATGTCTATGATGATTATGCTTGTTACGACAGAAATGTTTGTACTGTCTTTACGGTGGGATAGTGACAGCAACCTGTCTTAGGATGAGAACAAGACTACGACCAATGTTGCCTGCATATTGTTTGACCTGTCTGTCTCTCTATCACTTGTGACATCTCCCTAGCCTGACCTCAGGTGCTCATTGGTATTGCAAGGCTGCGTATCTGCGTGTTTTGTATACTTGATAAAATACTGTCCTAGATGTAACATCGTTACAAGCGTTTCTCTGAAAACAGTGTCTATCTCACTCCCTTTCATCGCAAGTCATCGTTTATCTTCTTATCCGCTTATCAGCCAGAAAATGCATATTTAATGTCTTCAGCATTTCTTAGTAACTCACATTTCTTAGTTCTGATAATAATTTTATTAGTCTGAAGTGTTTCTAGCACATCCACAATTTTTTTTTTCAAGTGTAGACATCGTACCACAGCTTCTGTGCTTAGAATATGTCTTTGAGGCCTCTTTTATTTTCGCTCTCTGCACCTCACCTAATTCACTGTCCGTATTATTATTACACGCACTGGAAGAGAGCTGCACCCGTAGGGGGTCTTACAGCGCCCTAGGGGGAGTGGAAGGCCTTCAAGTTCGACCCCACCACAGATTCGATGTCCTTGGATCAAGAGCCCCTCACCGGCATCAAGGAGTCTCCCTCGAAGGGAATTCTTTCTCACTAGACCTTCCTTGATTTTGTTAATTTTTTTTCCCTAAATCTTATTAACAAAAATTTTCAGTACACCTGCCTCTTATCTTTCTTTATCAATATATGTTTGTTTTGTAATTACTTATGTAATTTGTGGACATATCTGACCTATTTTTCTTAAGTCCTCTTTTTTCTACTAATTAAAAATTTACTGTAGATTTTCTTAGATTTTCTCCAGAGGTTAGTAGGTTAATAAGCTATTTTATTTGTTTAAGTTTCAGCTCGGTAGCAATGAGAGAATACAGAGGAGACGTTGAAACAGTACCAATGTACCGAACCAATGTACCCGACGCAGTTACAATGTCCTGTCACCGCAACACCACCGAAACACCACACAACACCATTCAACACAATTCAACACCATGCAACACCGTGCAACACCGTGCAACACAGTGCAACACCATGCAACACCATGCAACATCATGCAACACCGTGCGACACCATGCAACACCGTGCAACACCATGGGACACCATGCAACACCATGCGACACCATGCAACACCATGCGACACCATGCAACACCATGCGACACCATGCAACACCATGCGACACCATGCAACACCATGCGACACCATGCAACACCATGCAACACCATGCAACACCATGCAACACCATGCGACACCATGCAACACCATGCGACACCATGCAACACCATGCAACACCATGCAACACCATACAACACCATGCGACACCATGCAACACCATGCGACACAATGCAACACCATGCAACACCGTGCGACACCATGCAACACTATGCGACACCATGCAACACCATGCGACACAATGCAACACCATGCAACACCATGCGACACCATGCGACACCATGCAACACCATACAACACCATGCGACACCATGCAACACTATGCGACACCATGCAACACCATGCGACACCATGCAACACCATGCGACACCATGCAACACCGTGCAACACCATGCAACACCATGCGACACCATGCAACACCATACAACACCATGCGACACCATGCAACACCATGCAACACAATGCGACACCATGCAACACCATGCGACACCATGCAACACCATGCAACACCATGCGACACCATGCAACACCATGCGACACCATGCAACACCATACAACACCATGCAACACCATGCGACACCATGCAACACCATGCGACACCATGCAACACCATGCGACACCATGCAACACCATGCAACACCATGCGACACCATGCAACACCATGCGACACCATGCAACACCATGCGACACCATGACACACCATGCGACACCATGCAACACCATACGACACCATGCAACACCATGCAACACCATGCAACACCATGCGACACCATGCAACACCATGCAACACCATGCAACACCATGCGACACCATGCAACACCATACAACACCATGCGACACCATGCGACACCATGCAACACCATGCAACACCATGCAACACCATGCAACACCATGCGACACCATGCGACACCATGCAACACCATGCAACACCATGCAACACCATGTGACACCATGCAACACCATGCAACACCATGCAACACCATGCGACACCATGCAACACCATGCGACACCATGCAACACCATGCAACACCATGCAACACCATGCGACACCATGCAACACCATGCAACACAATGCAACACCATGCGACACCATGCAACACCATGCGACACCATGCAACACCATGCAACACCATGCGACACCATGCAACACCATGCAACACCATGCAACACCATGCGAACTACCATGCAACACCATGCGACACCATGCAACACCATGCAACACCATGCAACACCATGCAACACCATGCGAACAACCATGCAACACCATGCGACACCATGCAACACCATGCAAACACCGTGCGACACCATGCAACACTATGCGACACCATGCAACACCATGCGACACAATGCAACATGCAACCATCACCCACCCTCACACCAGCAACCATGCAACCAGCAAACCATGCGACACCATGCAACACCATGCGACACCATGCACACACATGCGACACCATGCAACACCATGCGACACCATGCAACCATAACCATGCGACACCATGCAACACCTGCAAACATCGACACCATGCAACACCATGCGACACCATGCAACACCATACAACACCATGCGACACCATGCAACACCATGCAACACCATGCAACCACCATGCAACACCATGCGACACCATGCAGCACCATGCAACACCATGCGACACCATGCAACACCATGCGACACCATGCAACACCATCAACACCATGACATAACACCATGCGAACAATGAACCATGCAACACCATGAACCCGCACCATGCAACACCATGCAACACCATGCGACACCATGCAACACCATGACACCATGCAACACCATGCACACCATGCAACACCATGCGACACCATGCAACACCATGCGACACCATGCAACACCATGCGACACCATGCAACACCATGCAACACATCACCATGCGACACCATGCAACACATGCAACACCATGCACACCATGCGACACCATGCAACATGCACACATGCAACCACCATGCAACACCATGCGACACCATGCAACACCATGCAACACCATGCAACACCATGCGACACCATGCACCCATGCAACACCATGCAACACCATGCACACCATCAACACATGCGAACCATGCAACACCATGCAACACCATGCAACACCATGCACAACCATGCGACACCATGCAACACCATGCAACACCATGCAACACCATGCAAACACCATGCAACACCATGCGACACACACATGCAACAACCATGCAACACCATGCAACACCATGCGACACCATGCAACACCATGCGAACACCATGCAACACCATGCAACACCATGACACATGCACACCATGCAACACCATGCACACCATGCAACACCATGCAACACCATGCGACACCATGCAACACCATGCGACACCATGACACATCAACCATGCAACACCATGCGACACCATGCAACACCATGCAAACACCATGCACACATGCACACATGCGACACCATGCAACACCATGCACACCACCATGCAGACACCATGACCCAGCAACACCATGCAACACCTGCACACCATGCAACACCATGCAACACCATGCGACACCATGCGACCACCATGCAACACCATGCAACACCATGAACACATGCAACCATGGACCATGCACACCATGCACCATGCAGACACATGCACACATGCGACACATGCAACCCATGCAACACTGACATGCGACACATGCACACCATGCCATCAAACCATGCAAGACACCAGACCATAATGCAACATGCAACCATGCACACATGCAACACCATGCAACACCATGCAACACACCATGCAAAATGCACCATGCACACCTGCGACACATGCAACACCATGACATGCACACTGCAACACATGCATGCACACCATGCACACCAGCAACACCATGCACACTGCACACCAGCAACCATGCAACACCATGACAATGCACACCATGCAAATACACCATGCAACACCATGCGACACCATGCAACACCATGCAACACCATGAACACTGATGCAACACCATGCGACACCATGCAACCACACAATGCGAACAACCATGCAAACACCATGCAACACACCATGCGACACCATGCAACACTCATGCGACTAACCATGCAACACCATGCGACACCATGCGACACACATGCAACACCATGCGACACCATGCCAGCACACCATGCGACACCATGCA